TTATATTGTATAAAAAATAATTTTGAGTTCCCTACCTCCACTCACGTGTGTTTGAATAAATGAAATTTCTCTACACTTAGTCGAAAGATTCAGATTCGAGTTTTAAAAATAAAACTTTTTCGATAGATAATATTTTCTTTTAAATACACCATATGCCTACTTAAATTTGATGAATTAATTATGTTAAAAAAATTTCAAATACTAGATATTTTGTGGTAACTTAATTATAAAGTGATCAAAGAGATAAGGCCAAGTAAATTTCTTTGGATGCCACATTATGATATAATTCATTATGGATTTGTTAAAATGAGGGGTTGACAATGTTACATATGAGTTAAAAAATTGAAGGATTAGGAATACTCAAATTATGCTAAGCTATTTTTTTAATTATTTTATATAGTATTATCCAACAAAAAGTGCATGAAGTGATAATAACACTTGTATTAATTTATGATTGCATATTAATTATTGTTGAAGAAAAACAAAAGTCATTAAAGGTCTCCTTCAAAGAATATTTGGTTATAAAAGATTGTATAAAAAATAATTATTTTTTTTAGAAGTTTATGTGTATCAAGAGTCCATATATTAGGGCATATTTGTCAACCCTATTGTAATTAAGGTCATATAATATATAATTTTTTTTGAGTCCTAGGTCTATATAGTACAATACCTTATAATATTTAAATTAAATAAATTAAATTCTCTTAATTCCCTAATCTCTTTCATTAATCTTTGTTTTGTGGGTGATCATAGTATCATAATATATAGTATTTTTTTTTGCATAGAATAGGGTGTAAAAATAAATGATTTTTGAACACTAAAATAAGTTCAAAAACAGTACTTTTTCTTTAAAAAAATTTAATATAAAACTTCTACTCACCCTCTTAATCTACACTATTTGCAGATTCATATTATGATTTTTTCCCTAATTTTTTTCACAAAAAAAAAATTTAATAAAAACTATACCTTTTAGCCTTAGGTAGCTTATGATAATTGAGATTCCATAAGTCAAAAGACACATACTTAGCATAAAAAAAAGATTAAAACTAATCAATCACTTGTACTATATGAGAGATTAATTAGGCTAAAAAACATTGTGGGGTTGTTTTGGTAGAAAAAAAGGTATTGTGTCCTAGCTACATATTAATTAGGTGCATAAAGTTCATGATTTATACTATTTTACTCTTAATCAAAAGTTTTAAATTTGAGCTGTTCCTGTTATTCCGCGACGTGTGATTCGAATTTAATTGAACCTCTAATGGACTCAAGAAGGCGAGTAACAAAAAAAAAAGTGCATAAAGTAAAGTCAATTTAAGTTAACACCAATGATGCAACATTATTATTTTTGGTGTTTAGCCAACAAACATCCATACTTATCTAGTTATATTATCAATAATACTAAAAGCTATTGATGATATGATATATTTTCACCATTTTTTTGGTACTTGTCACCCCACACACACATATATAGTCAATTTGTCTTTAAAAAAAAAGTCATGTTATACTTTTATTTAGAAAAAAATTAACTTTTTAATTTTCTATTTTACTTTTAATGAGATGATTTATCGTTATATAAATATTTATGACTAATTTCAAATCACAAAATTCAAAGAGTCTTTCTTTATTTTTTTTTTTAAAAACTTTGTATCAGTCAAACACCATTATATAAATTGAGACAAAAAAATAATAAATTTTAAAAATTTACCCAAATAACCGTTCACCGCAACCAGTCGCTTAAACTAAAAATAGTCGCCAAAGATATAACTTATATATATATGTATAATCCATACTAATTTATGTATAATCATGTATATACATCATATATGAGTACAACTATTAATGTATACTCATGTATATACTCTATATATAAAAAAGTAAACGGTAAATCCGACCAACTACTTAATTATGCAAAGACATTCATATTAATTTAGGTACATAAAGTAGAGTCAATTAAGCTAGCACCAATGATACCACATTATATATTATGTTATATATGTTTAGCCAACATAGAGCCATACTTATCTTGTTATAAATATAAATTTTTGAAAATAATATAATTTTTTATAAAAACAAGTTTTGATTATGTATGAAAATTAATTAATGTTTTAGTGTCAATGGAGAGAGCTAGAGAGATTCTTGTTTATAAATAAAGACAAACAGAAACATGTTTTCTTCTTCCTAAAGATCTGACTCAATTTGATTATTAATTAATTAATTTATTAAAACAACTTTAGAAATTTTGTTAGTTTTCTTCTTGTTATTTCTATGCAAGTGAGGTTCTTTGGACCTTATAATCTTTTGTTTAATAGATAAAACAAATGTTTTTATTAGGTCATAATATAATATAATATAATGTAGTAGAGGGACCAAGGTCAATGAAGTTCTAATATTCTCTTTGGAAAAAAAAGAACTTTGATTTTTTGTAGAATTAAGTATTCATAATTTCTTTGTTTTCTTACATTTTCGCGGAGCGGAAGAGATAAGGTTTTCGAATATTCTATAATCTTTAAAATGAGCAGAGCCACCTTAGGCGCAAAAAGTAGTCCACTACACATCCTTTGCTGAAAAATATATACGTGGTGTACAATAGTTAAATGTTAACTGTTATAACGTGTATATCTGATTCTGACACATTCTTAAAAACAATTAAAAAAAATAAATAAATTTACACACTCTTTATTAAATTTCTGACTGCATCACTACGTGCTCTCCAAACTCTATTTATATTATGTTGACGGTGTATAATACTAATAAAGTGTAAATTTATCGATAAAATTTTTTCGAGGGATATATATAAAAAATATGAGATTTTTAATAGAATATAAGTCAAAAAAGCCTAAGACGGAAATCACGATTTTAGTAGGGGGCAAGTTGGTTAAAAGGTACTTAGAGGTAATCTATTCAACAAATCGATTAATAATTTAAAATAAATGATCATTAACATGTTAAATTACACTGGCGATATAAAGTGAAATTTATTATATACTATGAATATGCATATAACTCAATACCTATTTTTTTTTCTTCAAAAGAGATATTTCCATGTTCTTGATTGAAAACCCTAGCCAAGTTGTTTCAAATAGGGTGTCTAAAAGCAACAAATAATTAATTTATGTAAATGATCGTTAATGCCGTAATTAACGACTTAAACTCGTTGATATATATGATAAGATGTTATTAATTTATTGTATTAAAGAAGACTTTAAGGTACGTTTATGACGGGGCTAAATAGAAAATGACTTTTACACTATTTATTTTTATTATTATTAAATATAAACAGTTCATCACGATTTTGTGCTAATCAACTTATTTGAAAATTAGAGTTTAATTTACAACCCAATTTTAAGTAAATGCATGAGATAATGCACAAGTATTCCTAGATGAAAACTGAAATTACAGAGACACATCTTTAACTAAACGAACGTTCTATTACCCCTGAGCATAATGCATGCCGTTCACCCAACTAGTTTTTTTTTCTTTTTTTCCGGTGTCCGGTGCTCCGTTTAAATTCAAATTATGCACGACAATGTTCATTTCAATGTTTCGAACATGATTTTTTTAATATCTACATACTCAGGACTCAAACCAACTCGTTCACTCAGTAGTTAGTTGTTCTATAGTTTACCGTTAATGTACTTATCATATTATTTATTGTTGCTATTATTTTTTTTCTTTATTATTTTTAACATGACTCCTTTACATGGTATTTCCTTTTCATACTCAATTATTGTGTTTTTCAGAAGCGTGGAAATTATCTCTCTACCTCATAAAGTATATAGGTGTAATGTCTGTGTACACACCTTCCTATCCAGACTTCACCTATGAGATTACATTGGGTATATATGTATTGTTGTGTTAGAAACATTTTAACGAGTAGTAGTAATTATCTACTAGGCGACTCTGATTCGCAAGAACAATCGGTCCATCAAACAAAAAATCATATTCAATATAATTTCATAAGTCGTATTTGTTGAAGGTAAAATATATGCATATTTTATTGTCTATTTTAATTTTATTTAAAATAAAAATTTCTGATAGATTTTCGACTCGATACTAAAGAAAATGAATATGAATAAATTGTCAATTACATGCAAGTTGGCTGACATAAATTGTCTATCAAGTTATAGTCCAAATAGTTTTTTTCATTATTGTTTAAGCAATTTTTCATCAAATTCTAAAACAAATCATTTACTCTAAAATTTAAAAGGGATTTATAAAATGTCCCAAAAAATTTCACCTATTATCTTAAGGTTTTAGAATATAGATTGAATGCTCAGATTCTTTCATATAATATTAGGTCAAATTTTGATTTTTTTTTTCGATTCAACCTATTTTGATAAACGTTATTTTTCTCAACTCAACTTATTTTATCCTTTGCCTTTTATCTTTCTTAAAACATATATAATCGCGCTACTCTTAGCTTGAGTCTCTCTAAATTTAGTCCATCGAGTCCCTCTTGAAAGGATTTTCTCATAAATTATAACATCTATCACTTTCGATCGAATGATCAAATTTTTTCATAAATGAATAAACAACGAACGAAACATGAGATTGCATATCTATGTTATTATTCGAGCTCGTCAAAAATATTTTTATCAGGTCGTCAAAAAATTCACAATACTCAACACGCACATGATGATATTTTTAAAGAATTTGAGGAGCATAATTAAATATAAAAAACGTTAGGGCACCATTGGTGACAAACTAAGAGAATGGAGCCTTCTTTCTTGATTTTAGAATTTCATCCACATAATAAAACAACATATAATAAGAAAAAGATACACAATTTTAATAATAATATTTTGAGAGAAATTTGCAATAGTAATTTGTCATGTTATTAATAAAATAATATTAGTAGTAAGCCAATCCAACAGTGACAGATAAAACCCTAGAGAAATGAGAAGACTTTTTTGGTTTTTCAAAAGTATGACATCATTGATCATCCACTCTTTTTCTACCTATAAAATCAAGTCTTCTCTTCTCAAAATATTTCAAATCAACAATTATCACAAAATATTTCAAAGTATTAAGAAAAAAAAAATTTGGAAGCAACAAAAAATTTAAAAAAAATATGGGGAGAGCTCCATGTTGTGACAAAGCAAATGTGAAAAAAGGACCATGGTCACCAGAAGAAGATGCAACACTAAAGGCATATATTGAAGAAAATGGCACTGGTAACAATTGGATTGCTCTTCCCCAAAAAATAGGTATCAAATTCTTCTATTTGTCTCTCTATGTATCGATTGTTTCGATCGAAAAATACCTTTAAAATAACTTTTCTTAGGGCTTAAGAAATACCAAAGGAAACTTGTTTTGAAACTGAGACGTAGTTGTTATTGTTGTCGTAGGGCTTTAAGTAAGACACATGGAAATTCATTAGAATTTAAACCTTAATTATTTGAGAGTTTTTCAAGACTATATTGATTGATGATTTTCTACAAAAAAAATATTGTTTTATGGCTTAACAAATATTCATTTGAAACTTGTTTGGAATTGAGACGTATTGGCTGTTGTTAGGGGTTAAACACATGCAAAATTTTATAAAATTTTAAACCTTAATTAGTAGGAGTTTTTTTTTGGACTAATTTGATTAAATGATGTTTAAATTTAATTTTAGGGCTTAAGAAAAACCTAAAAATCCTCGAAAAACTTATTTGTAACTGAGACGTTGTTATCGTTGTTGTAGGGCTTAAGAGATGTGGGAAGAGTTGCAGGTTAAGATGGTTGAATTACTTAAGACCTAATATTAAACATGGTGGATTTACTGAAGAAGAAGACAATATCATTTGTAGCCTCTATATAAGTATTGGCAGCAGGTAATATATTTATTTATTTATTTCATTTCATAGATAAACACAAAACAATAACAACAAAATAATAATGGAAATCCAACTAAATTACTTTGTCCTTTAGTCTTTGTTGTTAAGAGATAATTGTTATGAATTAATTTCACTCTTCTCTATGAGGTTTTTATTGAGACCTTTTCTTCATGTTTCTTGCTCATGATCCTCATGGTTTAACTTTGTTTAAGCCCGTGACGATCATCTCATTTGAAAGCATCATGTCAGAGAAAACAATCTTTTATTTACCTAATTATATTATGTATTGAAACAATCTTTATTTGATTATGTCTAAAACCCTTTGTTTAAGTCGGTGACCATCTCATATGAAATTTTAGGCCGATAGGAGAGATCATATTATTGGTTCTCTTAGACCTCTTCTTCATGTTGCTTGTTGATGATCCAAATTACTTTCTTAGGGTTTAATTAACTTTGTTTAAGTCTGTGACGATCATCTGAAAAACTGATTAAGTTTTTAGAGAAAGTATACTTCTGATTATTTAATTATATTATGTCTTAGAACGGACTTGATCTGATTGTGTTTAAAACTCATTTTTTTTGTGAAACATTTAGGTGGTCTATAATAGCTGCACAACTTCCTGGAAGAACAGATAATGATATCAAGAATTATTGGAACACTAGACTGAAGAAGAAGCTTCTTGGAAAAAGAAAACAATCTCAAATGAATAGATTATTGCTTGCTAATGGTGGTCAAGATCTCAAGGACATAAATGGATTAGAAGAAAATCCATTATTACAAAACCTAAGCAACTCAGCTCTAGAAAGGCTTCAACTTCACATGCAACTTCAAACCCTACAAAATCCTCTTTCTTTCTATAATAATCCATCACTTTGGCCTAAGTTAACCCCTCTCCAACAAAAAATGATCCAAACCCTACAATCTAATGGCTTAAATGAGAATCAATCACCCCTTTACACACCGATAAACCCTAGTGAAAACCATGCTCATGAACTAGGTCAAAAAGTTGGGATCAATGAATTTGCTAGTACTAAGGTGAATGTTGAAGTGGAAAAAAGTATCCCAATTAATGACTTCAACAACAATCAAAAAAATGTTCTTGACACAAACATAGGACAAGAAAACGCGAAAGAGATCCAAATTCAGGGCGTTCAGGGTTTCACTCAGCTGGAGATTGATGACCTAATTCTCAACAACAAGGGGTCAATAGGCCTAAATATGCATTCAGAGAATCAACAAATAGGTTCCGAATTCGATTGTTTTAAAGAGATGGATGATGGATCAAGGGACAATTTGGCATGGTGGTCTAATGATTTTGATACAAATACAGCTTCTTCATCAAATTCTTGGGGTTCATCTTCAAATATTCTTCAGAATTCTCATGAAGGAATGTATCAAGATTATGCATTAGGGTATAATTTGCAATAATAAATATTTAATTATGAGGGTGTAGAGAGGTATTTGATAATATTGCAAAGGGGAAATAGGGAAAGCTTGTGAGTAAATTAATTAAATGTTGTAAATTTTTTTGTGTGAATAATGCTTTCTCTTTGTCACTTAGCTAGCCAAATAACTTGTATGACATGACTGTTTTTTGTTTTGTTTTTGTTGTGTTATCTTAATGTAAAGCCATATAGTAATATTATGCATCTAAAGTCCATTTTGAGAGTTAACATATTCAATTCGCGATTTAAAAACCTATCTCCACAACTAGCTCGAATTTGAATATGTAACACACTTAGTCATTGAACATTATTCTAACTATTTGCTTTAAGCTAAGGCTCGAGGCTCGAGGCTCGAGGCTCGTTCTTGTATATATCTCCTTACTTTTATTGTAGTTGTTGTTGTCTGGTTAGCAATAAAGCTAGAAATTTCGTTACGTATGGAAAATAATATTTAACACATATAAATAGTATAAATTATCTCTATATGTTTTAATAATATATTCAGACTTGAAATTGAATTATTCTTCCAAAGACTACAAGACAAAACCAACCAAATTTCCACACAATGAACGTGAATTAAAACTTTAATGTATGTGAATTTGTTTTCCATTTTTTTTTGTTGAGAAGACTTAATTTCTTGAACAAAGGAGAAATCAACAAAAGAGATATGAGTTATCATCGAGTCTGTGGTGGGATGAATGAAATTTTAATATTTCGTATTTTGAGTCTAGGGAATGAAGAAACATCTGATGGAAAATTCTCTCCCTCTTAACAATGTCTTTTGCAGTGCGAATTTGAATTAATTGATATAATAAATTTTAAATATAAAATGTATATAATTGATATTTCTTTCATTGACTCATTGTATTTTAACCTAAAGTATTATATATTTTATAAATAACGTCTACTAGTCATTTTTTGATTATTTCATTGAAGAATGGTCACTTTTCTTGAATTTTAAATTGCATAAAAAAAAAACTCTCGAATTTTTCAAATACAATAGCTAAATATTGTTATTAGTGAATTTCACTATTTATTTATTTTTATTTTTTTGAATTTTAAACAAGCATCCTTAATATATGAAATCTGTAATTTATTTGATATAACAATGTGAAAATTCTTTATACTAACAATATATATCACTTAAAATCAAAATATAATTGATGTTTTTTTCTTGGGAGATTACAAAAATAAAAAGAATGTGAAAATTGTTATTTTCTGACCAATTTTTTTAGGAATATTAATGTGTAACAGCTAGTGTATGATTCAGCATTTCTTAATTAAAATGGATTAATATCTAGCCACTTGGATAATTATTCAATTCATCATTCCAAAAAGTATCAAGAATCACGTTTTTTCTCCTCATTATATCTTTAAAATTCAAAATAATAATAATAATAATTATATATATAACAATTTTCCCATCAAAATTCACAAACCAAAATATTTTTATATTTTTTTAATTTTTCACACTAAATTAAAGTTGTCAAAAATTTTTCCTCATGCTTCATCCTTCATCAAGCTATGGGAAAAGATTATGGCTAATTTTTGTATTTTTGCTTCTCTTCCCCTTCACAACTTCATGTATGTAATTCTTTACCTTATATCACTATATTTCTCTTGTTTTAGTTAATTGATTGTATTTTTTTTCGATTTATTTTCTTATTGTTTGATTTTATTTTTTAAATTCTGCGTAGCGTTTGATATCTGTACTAGAATTTAATTAATTTAAATTTATTTCCTATAAGATTCGTTAAAAAGAAAGCACTCCTTATCATCTCTTGCTTTCACCTTATAGAAATGCTTCTAGAAATTTAAAATTGTTTATTTAATAATATAAAATGAAATGCTTATTTTAGACAATTAAGGTGTTTAATTTGTTCAAAATTTTGAGTGAAAAGTTGGAGTTTTGGATTAAAGGTACTTTGAATGAAATATATGATAAAAATATCCTTCAAAATAATAAGATTTTATAAATTTGGTCAAATATGAAAGAAGTATCTCAAAATTTAGATGGGACTTACATTTGAATTTAATTTTTATATATTGACACTATAAATAACTTAATTCCTTCTAGGAAATTTTATACATAGACAAATATTGTTTTCTTTTTTCTATATTCAGAGTTGGAAGAGTGAGTAATTTGAGTAATGAGTATTTGATTATTTTTTTTTATAATATATAATTGACTCACACCAATTCTATATATTTTTCATAGCATAACCATTAAACATAAATTAGAATTTGAAAATAAAATCAATAAGAATTGCAGTGGAATGAATACTGTTCTTTCGCCATTACCTCACAATTATGATACAAAGTGGTTTTTCATAAAATGAACCTCACAGATCGAATTAATCGAAACCGCGATATGCATATAACCAAATAAAGTATAAATTTGAAAATGAAAAGTTTCATTGCCCTTTTAACTTTTTGTTATAATTCTATTTGCATGATTTTTTAATTCTTTTTTTTAGGTGGGCTTGACAATACAAGAAAATGTTGTCCATCAGATATACAAATATACCAAGGCCCATCAGGATTTAATGGTCTTCATATACCACAATATACAGTCCAAATTGTGAATGAAGCATCAACTACTGATGGAGTATATGATGTTCAAATACGTTGTGGTGAATTTGCTTCTACAGATTTTATTGAACCATCAATTTTTAGAAGAATTGGTGATTGTGGAATTTGTCTCTTGAAAAATGGTAGTAGGATTCTACCTGGAGAAGTGATTTCTTTTGTTTATTCAAATATTCTTCCTTATGATTTGTCTGTTATTCAAGTAAAGTGTTGAGTATTCGAGACATATATCCAAAGTTTTGAGTGAATGAGTTTGAATTTCTGAGTCCTTGTTGTGTTAGTAAACAAATCATTATACATATTAAGTGATTTCTTTTGTGTATTCTAATATTCTTCCTCATTGATTTATCTGTTATTCAAGTTATATGTAGAGTGTTCGAGACAGATATCTAAGATTTTTAAGTTTATGAGTTTTGATTGTTGAGTCCTTTTAGTTTTTTGCTTGTTGCATTCGTAAACAATTCATTATACATATTAAGTGATTTCTTTTGTGTATTCTAATGTTCTTTCTCATTGGTTTATCTGTTATTCAAATTAAATGTTGAGTATACAAGACATATATCCAAGATTTTGAGTTTATGAGTTTTGATTTT